CGGAGAGGAGCAGGCGGACGCGCCGAGCCACGCCCGGAGCAACAAATAACAGCAACAAATAACAGCATAAAATTGCTATAACCCTCAATAAATTTACTTCCATTATTGTTCTTAAAAAGCAAAAAAGTTATGCTGCAGCGGGGTTCGACCTCGCACAGCCGTCAATTTGCATGCGAAAACCAAACAGAACTTATACTCGCGACTTTAGGGTAATGAATTTGTGATTAATTCATTTTAATGGTAAAGTTAAGAACTGTTATTAGAAATGTTATCAGAGCTATTACTCGATAAATTGCTTCTTTTCAAGAAAAGTTTTAGAGCTATTCAATAGCTACCGTAAAGCCTCTAAGTTGACTCACAAAAAAACGCTCATATCTTGACATTAATACGTTTGTTTTTGCTCGCTTTAGTATCAAATTAAAGTAGAGAGAATGAGTGATATTTTGAGATATAAAACTTATTTCTAGCATTAACCAAAGCTTAGAAAAATATGATTGAAAATTGGCAAAAAATCAGCTTTTTTTGTCACTTTTCAATCATTTTTTCTAAGCTTTGGTTAATGCTAGAAATAAGTTTTATATCTCAAAATATCACTCATTCTCTCTACTTTAATTTGATACTAAAGCGAGCAAAAACGAACGTACTAGTGTCAAGATATGAGCGTTTGTTTGTGAGTCAACTTAGACGACGCGACGCTCCTATAGAGGGTCGTTTTTTGAGAGCTTTTACGGTGTTATTGTTTGAATTTTTCTTTAAATTTGCATTAACAGTTGTCTACGTGACTTTACGCTTACCCGGATTACGGTAGGATTTGTGGGTAATGATGACAACTCGTCGATCATCGAACTCGTCGGTGACTGCAGAATCTCTTCTGAAAAAAAAAGGCATACATTTTCTTCGACTACAGTAACCCTCAATGGCTACTGTAACCCTCAATGGCTCTACAATAGCCTTATCCTAGCTTTACAGTAATCCCTGACCTATCTTTACTCTACCGTAGCCCCACCGCAATCTTTTCGAAATTCTACGAAATCTACCTAACCCTTTCTCCATAGATAACTAGATCTTTAAGCTTTTCCCTTCTCTAAAGTCGCTACAGTAACCCTGAGCCTACAATAACCTCATCATAGCTTTACAGTAATCCCTGACCATCCTTTCTTCTAAACATCTAGATCTTTAAGCTTTTCCCTTCTCTAAGGTCGCTACAGTAACCCACAGCGACTCTACAATAACATCATAACTTTACAGTAATCCCTAACCATCTTTTCTCCTAAACATCTAGATCTTTAAGCTTTTCCCTTCTCTAAGGTCGCTACAGTAACCCTCAGCGACTCTACAAGAACCCCATCATAGCTTTACAGTAATCCCTAAGCATCCTTTCTTCTAGACAATCAGATCTTCAAGCTTTTCCCTTTCCTATCGTCGCTACAGTAACCCTGAGCCTACAATAACCTCATCATAGCTTTACAGTAATCCCTAACCATCTTTTCTCCCAAACATCTAGATCTTGAAGCTTTCCCCTTCTCTAAAGTCGCTACAGTAACCCTCAGCGACTCTACAATAACCCCATCACAGCTTTACAGTAATCCCTAACCACCCTTTCTTCTAGAAATCTAGATCTCTTGATCTAATCTTCAAGTTGAATGTGTTCAGCTTTTGACTCTTCTAGGGTAATCGAGTACGGTGAACACGAATTTCGTATTTAACGCATTTAAAGATTTCCTCTTTTAAAAAAAGCGACTTTTTAAATGAAAACTTTTTATTAAAGCGACTTTAAACTAAAATTTCGGTATTTTAAAAAAAACCGACCGGCTGTTTCCCTTATCCCGACCGCGTTACCCATGGGTGATATTTTGAGATATAAAACTCATTTCTAGCATTACACCAGCGCTTAGAAAAATACGATTGAAAAATGATAAAAAATGAGCTTTTTTTTTTGTCACTTTTCAACCATTCAAAACCACTCATATCTCAGCACCAGTACGTTTGTTTTTGCTCGCTTTGGTAGCAAATTAAAGTAGAGAGAATGAGTGATATTTTGAGATATAAAACTCATTTCTAGCATTAACCAGTGCTTAGAAAAAACTGATTGAAAAGCGATGAAAAATCAGCTTTTTTTTGCCAATTTTCAATCATATTTTTCTAAACGCTGGTTAATGCTAGAAATAAGTTTTATATCTCAAAATATCACTCATTTTCTCTACTTTCATTTGATACCAAAGCAAATAGAGATAAACGTACCGGTGCTGAGATATGAGTGGTTTTGAATGATTAAAAAATGATGAAAAATCAGCTTTTTTTTGCCAATTTTCAATCAGTTTTTTTCTAGGCACTGGTTAATGCTAGAAATAAGTTTTATATCTCAAAATATCACTCATTCTCTCTACTTTAATTTGATACTAAAGCGAGCAAAAACAAACGTATTAGTGGCAAGATGTGAGCGTTTGTTTGAGAGTAAAAAAAAAAACCTTACCCATGAGTGATCTTTTGAGATATACCTGCTGTTTCCCTTATCCCGACCGCGTTACCCATTTCGACGAATTGCGCGGGCAGCTCGGTAATCGGATCCTCTAAAAAAATCGAGATAAAATCAAGAAAAAAAATCAAGAACTACTCAGCAAAGCCAAGCAAAAGCCTCGGCTTCAAAGCTGTGCCCTGTGCACTCTTTACCCTCCACCGTAAACCCCAAAACAAAGCCCATCTGGTGCACTGGGCAAAACGCCGAGAAAGCCTTTCACCCAAAAAAAAACTCACTGGTTTTCGTTTTCCGCCTCATCGTGCCAATGGTGGTGGCGATTTCGTCATTTTCCGCGAAATCGGTTTCCGTGTCGATTTCCCCGATCTCTTCGGTTTCTTCGTCGTTTTCCTGTTCCTGTTTCCCTGTCATTGTTTTGCTTTTCGTCACCTCGACCACTTTGCGGTCTTTCTTCAAATTCTCCTCGTCATTCACTCCAAAAAACGCTTTTTCATCAAATTTTTGCGAAATCTGCGACATCGGCATTACAGTAGAAAGCAATTGAGCGAAAGAATTCGAAATCTCCGCTCCACCAATCGTCGCTCCACCAAACTCCGCTCCATCAATCGTCGGACTTGGATATGGTGCAGCTTTGAGTGAAATCGCATTTAAAGCACTCGTCGGGCTTGTGTGCATTCCAGATTGAAGAGAAATCACATTCGGCGGACTCGTTGTCGTCAGACGAGGAGCATATTGAAGGGGAAGTGCCTCGGGAATGATCTCCAACGATTGCGCGCCACGAGCGGCAAGCGCCTCGTCCAGTGCTTCGCCGGCAATCAGCTGTAAAGGGTTTTCTTGGCTATAAATAGGCTAAAGTGTTACCTCATTTCTGTCCGGAATCGGTGCACCAAGGACAGCGCTCAAAAAAGGGAAAACGAGAAGAGCTCGACTCATAAAATGTCTTCTAAAATGTCTCTAAAGGGTTTAAATAAAAAAATTTTCGTGAATTTCTTTGCAAAACCATTTTCAAAATGCTAGCTGAAAGGGATAAAAGAAAGAAAAAAAAGGAAAATTAATAAGGAAATGGATTGTTGACAAAAATGACAAAAATGACAAAAATAACAAAAATGAAAAAAATAACAAAAATCAAGAAATCAAATTTTCTCCTCAAATCAAAAGCCAAAATCTACTGTGCTATCCAGATCATTAAAATCTCTCAAAACTAATTCCCCAACTCTATCAGGGGAGGAGTTATTTTGTCGAAAGCTTTCGTCCACCATTTCGACATTCTTTTAAAAAGTTTGCTGAAAGCTTAAAAGTGTCTCAAATCCATAGTGTGACATCCAACTAGAAGAGTTTCACAAAAATCAAGGCCATAAAGTTATCGAAAGGATTTGATTTCAATGAAGAACACGAATGGCAGGGGGGAGAATGGGTTTGAGTGAGGTAAAACAGAAGCGAGAAATTTCTCTTTGAGTTTGCGCTAAAGGGGACACCCATAAATTCCGGGAAATCACCGAAACAGGTGACTTTTCTGGTGAAATTTTTGGTATAGCGATTGATTATTTTTGGGGAGGAATTGGGTTGTGTCGAGTCACTAAAATCGCAAAAAGCACATGATCAACAACAAATTTTTTTTCTTTGTCGTTTCTTTTCCTATCTGGAAGGTACACCGTGAAATTTTTCGATTTTCAAGGCATTCATATCAGTATTCGCCAGGATTTCCCATAATTTTAGTATTGTAGCGATACACCAGGGTACCCTTGGTCATTACAGTGCCCAGGGAAACTGTACATAGCATCCCAGGGGTACTGTATAACGGCCAGACACACTGTATGAGTCCATGTAGCGCATTCGGGGCACACATGAGTTTAGGAGTCCTGTATGACAATCAGGGTCCGCCTGGGGTACTGTAGAAGCACCGCAGGGTAGCCTGGCATCTAATTTCCAACTATTAGGGACCGTTCCCGATACCTGAAAATTGCTTTTGACCAAAATTCGTCGAGATTTTGACTAAAACACTTAAAAAAGCTAGTCAGGATATTTCGATTTGACAACTCGAAGCAAGTCCTATCCAAATCCCCCCTTGCTTCAAGTGTGACTGGTGAAGAAAAAAACAAATGACACATTTATTGCCTCCTCTCGAAATTAGGACAATTAAACCTTAGACGTTTAACACACGGTTTAACATCAAAAGTCAGACATAAGTACCCCGAAAAGTGAACACACAGACATAAAAATTGAAGGCTATACACGATGATGGATGATAAAACTTTAATCGGACGAAAGTTTAGTTTTGGATTATCGGTTAAGAAATCTCACAAAGAAACAAACGATAAAAACTCTAAGATATTATTGCGAAATGGGAAAAATTGACTAGCCGGCAAAAACCACAAAATGAGCAAAACACAGAATCGTTTTCGGAATTTACACAAAATTTTTTGAACTTTCGGACAAGAAATTGCACCGGATAATGGGAAAACAAAAAACAAGTTAAGTTCCTAATTTTTTAAAAATCCACAAGTTAATTAATGCAATGAAATCATATGCAAAGAAAGACCGGATTGCATTGACGATAATCGACGGCAGCTGTGTGGGTGGTGGCCCGAGATGGATGAGAAGTCGAATCTGAAAAAAGAAAGTGAAATGAATGATCTTTTTAAATGCACTTCTATTAGAAGAAACACGGTATGCGATCAGGGAAATCACGCAAAAACTATTGAAGATTGAACTCAAACTATCGAAGTTTGCATACTTTGAAATTAAAAGCGTGCTTTGCTCATCACTCTCTTCCCCTTTCGCCCTCACCTGATTGTTTCACTTTTCGCCTCCTCCACGTCACATTCGTCTCGTCCAATTCCCGTTTCAGCTCTTTCCGTTGATCGATAATCGAAAGCATTTCGCGAAGCAGGGAAGCCTGGAAAAAATCAGTAGAAAAATTGAAATCCCACAATGTTCACCTTTTCATCGTCATCGTCGTTGCCTCGTTTCAAATCGTTTTGCTGGTTGATGAGCGCGTCCAATTCTCGATAGCTGAAAATACACGTTATTCACTGTCAAACATCAAAATGGTTATTGTAAACTGTATTTATTGTATACTGTATTTGCTATATTACCGTATTTTTAAAAATTTGGTGATAATTGGGTGCTGCACATCCGCGCGAAACAACCAAAAACGCGTTCTCTAACCAAAAGTTGCGTGGATCGACTCAGAGTTTTACGTCTGATGAACATAATCGTTCTGAACATTTGAACACCAAAACCATTGAATTTGTAGAAAGTTATTACGTTTTGTAATTGCCACAGTCTAAAACTCAGTTCCATCCTCTAAAGGGTGGCATAACTACGTAGCCTGCTGCCGGAGTATAAAGGGCCGCGCATTTTTATCGCCCTCACCCTTTAATTTTCTACAAAACGTAGTAACTTTCTTCAAATTCAACCAAATTCAATGGTTTTGGTGTTACAATGTTCCGAACGATTATCTTCAACAAACTTCTACAGGGTTTGTGAAAATTCTTTATTTTCGTTGACATATTTGGCTGCCAATGTAAATTCCCTATAGTAAAATTAGACTGGAAGTTTATTCTGAAAAACCTGTCGAAGGAATTTTAAAATCATGTCGATTTTTGAACTCAACGTAAATTTGAAATAATTTGACTTCGATTAAGCTGTTACACACATCTTTTGGTGAGAGAATGCGTTTTCGAGCAAATGCGTACTGTCTAAACACTATTTGGGCTACTCTACCAAAGACATCGACTCAGATTGGACACCAAGTAGTTATTTAAAGATTCAAAAAGCCCCTCACCGATGCTCCAATCGTACTTCTTTCGCCTTTAGCTGGAGATCTTTTTCGCGATCAGTCAAGATTTGTTTTTCTTGAACAAGGGAACGCCATTCAGAGAGCAGATCAACACTTGTTGGATCTAAAAAAGGATAGGTGAGATCCTTGAGAAAACAGAAAAGAATTTTGCAAAATGAGCCGCTAATACAGTCAAATCTCGTCAGTAACTTGTGAAAGGGATCCTGAAAAATCGACTATTCTCGCGATTATTTCAGTACGTTGATCTTCGTCTACTCAAAGAGTTCACTAGAGATTTAGCTGTATTTTTAACTTGATCACGTTTTTATGCTGTACATTATATCCAAGTATTCAAATTCCAAACGAACACGCACCCGAGTTGAGATTCGCCTCGACAACCCGTCCCCGTCGCTCAATCGCTTCCAAGCGGGTCTCTGATTCGTCGAGTTGTCGTTGCAGATCTTGCGCCGTTCGGAGTCGGTCCTCTTCGTGTTGTCGGCGAATCTTCTCGCCCCTAAATTTGGAAATTACATTCATTTTAAGCAGATCAAATTACGCTTAGAATTTCAATCAAATTCACATTTTCCAAGCTTAGAAGTACATCACACAAACCTCTTCTGGATGAAGCGTAAATTGCGATCACTTGGCGCCAGTGTTGGCACGTCGGCAGCAACCGACGATGAAGCACTCAGTGAAGCGATCGATTGTCCGGCAGCGGTTGGCATCGGTGGAATGCCGGGAACAAAGACTGAAAACAAATAGTTGACTCGAGATCCTGCATTTACATATCTATTTAGCCAATTAGCGCTAAAAAAGTAGAGCCAACCAGAGCCAAAAACCAAAGAATACCGGCTGCTAGTGTAAACCAGTAGTGTGCAATGCGTTTAGAAGGATCTTTGTGGCTCAATGCCTTGTGTCGGCACTGACACCCAAAGGCCGAGTCAAGTGAATTTTTTTTTACAGATTCTTATTGTTGGTAACTAAAAAAAAGCTTTTTGTTTCTAAAGTGGTAACTAAAAAAAAACTAAATCCGTAAACAAATAAGGATCAAAAAAGATAATCTGTCGTTCGAAATCCCCTCTTTAAGTACCTGTCGTTTTTGCGATGGTCGTCGCTGGTGGTCGGGGCGATGGGGCAACAGCAGCACAAGGGACATGATCCGAATTGATGACAAGACTTGGCGATGCAAGCGGCACTCCACGAAACGCTTCAATTGGGGCTAAATTGGGGAAACTTAGTGGATGGATTCAAATCGAATCACGGCATAACTTGATCCTAAGCCTAAGCATTATCTCATCTCAAGCACTCACCAATCGGCGAGTGATTGCGTTGCCCGCGCAATTGATCCCAGATTGAGTTCCGCGCGCGCAAACCGTTCTCTTTTGAGCTTTCCGATTGGATTGGCTCTGAAAAAAACTATCTTTACTCATTTTCAAATAAGATTACCTTTAATTTTTTCAGCGCTTTCCGTCAAAGCCGTCGTGGTGGTGCTTCGGTGTTGTAAATTCGGTGAAAGGAAACCTAAACACAACGATATTTGTTTTGATTAAAAAAAACTACCGTAAAATGTTTGTTTCGGCGGAGTTCTGGCGGGTAATGGTGGCGCCATGAGGTCACTTTCGGGAGCCGTGTCCGCGCGAGAAGCCGAGAACTGAAAAGAATCAATTAAGAAAGCAAGAGCATAGCTGAAATTCTCCTATAGAGTTACAGTGACAAAAAACGTACAGCCTGCCTCCGCAGATCGACTTGGTTGAGCATTGTGGGCAGTTGAGCCGAGTCATCCAATTGTCCCGTTGTCGCCGCCCGATCTCGACCAAATAGTGTCGGTGGTGGGCTGCGGGTTTTTGAGCGACTCAACGGCGTGTTCACTAAAATTTAAGTGTTGGTGAAAGTATGTTAGGTAACAACTAATTTCTACAAGCTCGTCTTCGAAACTCACAAATCCCCAGCTGCTCATCGCTTTTCATTCGGGCTCTCCTTCTCGCCTCTTCTCGTAAACGATCCAAATCAACGGATGACTAAATTACACATTTTTTCAATGACAAACTTGCAATTGTCACTGAAACGAGTGCTTAACCCATTTCTTTTCTTGAAAAATTCAAAAACCAACTCCTCTCATTAAAGTGGATTCGGATCGATGCCCGGGTTGATCAACTTTCGTCGACGTGTCGGCTCCCTAAAAAAATTAATCTAAGATTAAACAAAAGAGACCCAACCATTTGATTGAAATTCGTCGCCGTATGGCGTATGCTTTCGTGTCGTATCGACTCACGCCGGCGGCTGTTTATTCGCTCCAAAACCGATCGAGCCTAAAAGATACCAGTAAACGTTGCCCTAGAATTTCAATAATGACAAAAACAGAAACCCACGATCGACTCCTCAATCTTATTGCTCGGATTTTGCTCGGTGATCTCCAAAACGGTCTTCTCGAGTTCCTAAAGTTACACTTGTTAAAGCGAATGATGAACCAAATGAGTAATTAGCTCAACCAACGGGTGACTTAGTCCAAAGATTGTTGGTATTCATGAGTAGACGACTGAATTGCAACCTAAATCCACCTGTAAATCCTCTTCCGCGAAATTATCCTCCTCATCCGACAGCGATTCATCGTGATTCCCCTCGTCGTCGATGAAAGTCTGATTTAAATCGACGTCTTGTGTATTCGAGCGGGATCGCAGCGAGCTGTCCGTCTCCTCTTTTGATGAGTAATAGCCTAAACAATGAAATTTAAATGAAAAATGCTGCATTTTGAAATCCAACTTGTGGCGAGTGTTGAATCAAATTGACTATAAATGTTCCCAAAAACCTACAACTCGACGATCCGGTTCTTTCCCTTGAACTATTACTCCCGCTCGTTCCCTCTTCTTCAGATTCACTGTCGATGTCAACGGCTTTCTAAACACCGTACATTTATCAAGTTACAAACAAAAAAATCCCTACTTTAATGAATTTCGGCCTTTCTTGTTGCGCGTCAAAGGCGGCTCTTTCGGGTGTCGAGAGGAGGCCATTTTGATCCGAATCCACCGGCGACGTGAGCACACGTTTCGCGTTTGGCAACACCAAGTCTTGTAGTCTAAACGAGAAAATGGCTATATTTAAGTGCCGATAATGGTACCTTCTCTGATCGGATCCATAGTAGTGTAACATGTTCGACGATGAGGCTGTTTTTGGTGGGCACGCTGGGACACGAATTGGGAGAATCGGTGATGGGAGTGCTTGCAGGGGGAAACGATTGATGATTTGAGCGGGTGATTCGCTGAGATTCCCCTTTGATGAGTCCGATGAGGCACCTGAAAGAAAAGTATTGGAAGAGGCTTTAGACCTGAGATTTTTCGTTTCACTGGTTCTTAGTTAGTCACCATCCAGTAAAATATATTCAAATTCTCACCGAATCACCCCTTTTCAAAGCTTACCTTCGTCTTGTGAAGCCTGTTTAGCCAACGCCTTTTTCTTCGTATACTCGATTCTTCCGATCTTTTCCCGAAGCGGTAAACGGAGATGCGTTTTGCAGAAAAACCTGAAACAATGAGCATAAAAATTTCAAGCTAACAACTCACTTATTGCGGTAATTCTCGATCTTGTCTAACTCGCGATCCTGTCCACACTCGCCCAAACGAAGCGGTTGACTGCAAAACGAGCATTTGAAGCATCCCCGATGAACGTACATCGATTCGACTTGCATTCGTTCGGCCAAGAAAACCACCTGAAGCAATGAGATTTGAAAAGTAGAATTTAAATAGCGTTTAAGCCATCAAAACCTACCTCATTGCATAATTGACACGTGTTTTGTCGCCTTGGATTGACACTATCGTACAACGCGTCGACATCGGGCATCGAGTGCACTTGACGCTTTGGTTGTACGGGGGGCAACGGGCTAAAGACAATGAATCATTATCGATTTACATAGACTGTTCTCCTATGCAAGCTTCTCTTTTTCCCCACTCACCCGCATCACCACCGATCCGTCTTGTCGTCGTGTAACCAACGTCAACGATGGTGATTGTGAATCGGGTTCGGGCAGTTGCGGAATCTAAACTAGGCGATTGAGTGCAAAGACGCGAATCAACTAAAATGATCTTTAGAGTCTGATTTCCAGTCTTGAAATGCCAAGTACCCAATTTTCCGCTAAACCCTTCAACCAACCTTTTCCTCTTGACCGCTGATGTTTGCCAGTTGTTGTCCCTCATCAACCACAACTTCTCTCACTTCTTGTCGCTGAATCTCGACTTGTTCCACCTCTTCAACACTAATCTTTGCCTAAAACAAAAATGTTCTCTTTCAACAACAAAAGCTCTAACCTTATTTTCCTCACGCTTGCCGGTGATAAACTTTTCGACGCGTCCAACAAGAGCCGGATCAAGGGCACTCACCTAAAAACAGAAATTCTTATCTTTTCATTCAAACAAGATACCTGCGGCTTTTTGGTGAGATATCGTGAATCGTCCGTGGGTTCTTCAATGCTGGGTAAATGCTAAAGATCAAATTTTGAAGCGTATCACATCAAATGTATTCCTTTGCCTAATCAAACCACACCTCCAATTGTCTCCTCAACGGTGGCGGCGTTGGCTGATCGGTGGGTTTCCCTCTTTCGTAAAAGGCTTTGATTTGCCCGTGAAGATTCTCGATCACCGCCGACTTCTTCGCTTTTGATGTGTCGAACTGGAAAAGTGGAAAATAAGCCAAAGTACCGAATAAGGTGTTAGTTGAAAATCGATAAATTAGTGAAAACTAATAAAATCAAAAACTCTCTGAATCGCAAATCTTCATGCACTTACACATTCGCCCTCGTCTGTGACTTGTTCCATTTTAATGGGTTTTCTTTAAAAATTTTCTGGATTACAAGTTAAAACCAAGCCCCAAGATTTAAAGTTCAATTTCAAAGTCAAAAGCAAAAGTTGATCGTTGAGCAAAGTTTCTGACACTTTCATTGGCTCTGTCAGGTAGGAGGACAGTTTCAAGGAAAATTTCTAAATTTCTGAAGCAGACTTGATCACTCGGTCACGTTTTTGATCTCACGAAATGAAAATATTGTGTAATCAACAGTTTTTAACTGCCACAAGAACCATATTCAATGAAAGACGCAAATACCTTTGTGGGCATCGGTTTCGGTCGTTTACTGGCGGCGCTCCGCGGTGTGATCAAAATCGAGCGCACCCGGTACATATCCGATTTGATGAGACCGATCAACGCGTAAATGTAGTCCAACTAAAAAAACAAGATTGAAAAGTAGAATACGCTTTACGCTTTACCTTCAACTCTTCACTCAATCTTGGCCATTGTTCAGGGGTGCACGGCTCGGCGATCTCCAAGTGTTCACGGACTCGCGAGAAGACCATCTAAAAAGATCAGATGATATTAGCCTGTTCAGTAAAAAAATTCCCCACATTATACAATATCTAAGTACAAGAAGAGCCAAATCAGTCATCTGCCTTCATTTTTAACCTAATTTTCTCCCCCACTCACTTCCAAGCGATCCTTTGGCCGTTCGCTCGAGCTCAACACGTTAAAATAATCCAAGCATTCGGGTCGAAATTTCGCCACCAATGCAGCCAGCGCCATCCCGTCGTTCCACGACGTGTTCATATCGTAGAGCTTCAGCTTGTACGGTGTCAGAGCATGGGTCAGGAATCTGAAGTGGAGAAATTTAGCTTCTCGTCAACACTTTAGTTTTTCACCTCCACGCCGCGTATTTCATTCTTTCCGGATGCTCGTGTGCGTCGAGCCGCGGATGGGGTTGCCGGTGGTAGATCGATCCTAAAAAATGATGACTACACCAATTCAATCAAATTTTATGACTAAACAGCTCTTTAACGGCCTAAGGCCTAAGTCATCAAGCAAAGTCTTTATTAATATTGATTTCTAACTTACTCGGAGCATCAGAGTCCACGATTTCCACAACATCCTCCGGTCGCATCGTTATTTCCAAGGACACATAACGGGTTTTCGGGTCGATCGTGAATTTCGTCAACTGTTTGTGCAGATTGTCCTTGGTGACCTGAAATAATTAACAGATATGTGCTTGTAAACCAAAGGATCTCACTTGAGCCAACAACCGATAAATGCTTTCACGTTCGGCGATAAGTTGAAGGGGTTCTGAAAAAAGTTATACACATACTCTAAGATTAAATGCGTTTGTAGGTTTTCTCTGCAAATGGAGTGAAAAGGACAGAATTCGGCTCCTGATTAAAACTCTAAAAAAATTGTCAGGGCAAACCAGAGCAAAAACTCGTCCAAATCAGGACAGATTGTCAATTTAGGAGTATTCTTTAAACAACAGTACCCCGTTCGTTCATCCCGTACTCCTTGATCAACCACGCCGTGTCCATGACACCAAGAAATCCGCGAGCACATCCAGAGCCGGTCGGCCAAAATGGCTGAAATTAGATCAACTTTATTCGTTTTTAGCCTTAAAACACACCTCATGCAAGCTATCGCCAACGATTCCCAGCAAAAGTCGTCGTTTGTTTCGCTCAATTAGTCGAACGCTGTACTTACTAAAGGAAAACATTGGGATTTTGAATTTTTTCAGAAAAAAAACCTTGAGTAAAGCGACGTGAAATCGAACATTGCAATGTCGGGCTGACTCTTGTGATTTGTCGCGTAGTCCAGGATCGGTAGTTTGCCTAAATTTTTCAAGAAAAATTCAGGTAAAGTTAAAGAATAAGGTGATGTCAAATTGCTAGTGATTACTCTACTTTTAACAACAATCGAAATCACTACAACCGAATGAAATCTCAACAAAATGCGCTCACCATTTGTCGCGAATTGCGCTGCCGAGTAGGCGTACCGGCAGAGTTGCTCTTTGTTCACATTTTCCGCCGACAACAACACGTTCACGTCTTCGCAATCCTAGAAAAGGGGTATTTCGAGGAGAATTTAGCGATGCTACCTTCAAAATGACGCCCTGCTCGAGCAGACTCTGCTTCTTCGCGCACATCACAAAGTAGTGAGTTTCATCCTGAAAAACTAAATTGATTGAAATGCTCTTAAACCTCCACCTTATAGTAGACAATGTTTTCAAGATCGACTCCCGTTGTTGCGTGCATTTCCTTGAAGAACGCCTGATTAAAGATGTAGGCGACACCGCTAAAAAAAATAAATTTTACCAATAAGGTGAGCTACCGAGATACAACTTTCCAGTTTTGCTAGCTGTTCTTAAAATAGGAATGTTCCAGAGTCCTACTTTGAGCCGCTGAAACAAAGCGCTTTTGCAAAAAAACCGAAGCCTAATTTAGACTCAGCACCCCAAAAACATCGTGGTGCGCAACTTGAAAAATCCGTTTACCAGAAACTATCTTTTTCCGATTTCAGTCCACCGGTGGATCGAGTGGATCCCAGAGACTAGCTGAGGTATCATCGCGAATCTTTTAAACATTCAGCTAGGATTTCCCAACAAGCAAGCACAATAGATAAGCTTATTGTAGCGGTGGTTTGGCTCACAGCTAGTCAATAAACAAAGCCAAGCCAAGAATATTGTTCCCGAAATCTTTCTTGGCCACTTTTTGTCGACAAATTTTCTTTTCTCACCTTATTTCGGGCACTCTTTCTTCGGCAGCCGTATGTCGATTCACGAAATTGGCCGTGATTCCTGAAATTTATCGGTTAGTAAAAGAACAAAGAATCTTTGAACAATCTTCGAAACTTAAAACCTCAAACTTTAACGAAGAAATATAAGCAAATAAAAGTTGTGCATGACATTGTGCACAACATTACCAACTCGATTGCCAATTTTCCGCGCATCTCGTCACGTGAGAATCCTGAAATCAAAGATTATACACTTGAAATGCAAACACAATATGCTAGGCTTGGTACTACAATCATTTATGAGTTTGACATAAATGGGTCTAAAATATTTTTAATTGCATACCTTTTATGGTGTTTCTTTTCCCATCGGCTCCAATCAGCACGTCGAATTCGTAATCGCCAAGTAGGTGATCGGCTGGTTCAAGTGAGGCACGGAAACCCGAGTCTGAAATAGAAAAAATGAAGAAAAGTCTGATGCAACTATTTTAACGTAAAAGCTGGCAAAAGGGCTTGTTTTAATCAAATTTGTATTAAAATATAGCGTAGCCTGAATTTATACAGTGATCTTAGCCCGAAATTAATCAGTTTGGTGCATCGTTTGCTTTGCAAAAACCCACAAGTTTCATTCTTGTCGAATCTTGGTTGCGGCGTGAGAAGATCCTTGTAGGTGACACCCTCATACACTTGGACACCGTAACAAAGGGCGACTTTAAGCAGGATGCACTGCATTTGGCGAATACCTGAAAAAGAATTTTCGACAATTGTTATCTAACAAAAGTTGTGCTTTTAAAAGTCTTTTAGACGCAAAGTTCTGCCCCAAACATACACGTTTTCTGATTTCAACAAAATTTTGAAGCTTATGCTTGTGGAAAACTCACTAATATGCTCGATGCTTCCCGTGCAGAACTTTGGGTAGAAAATCTTCGCGCCAAAGGACTTCAGATCATGAATGACGAACTCCCAAAGATGTAACACGTTGTTTCGACTAAAAAAAAGAGGGTACATAGCTGAAAATTTGCGACAATGCAAGTGAAGGATCTAAAAAAGCTACTGCGAAAACTCAGCATTCTGCCTCAAAACTCAAGCTCAAGTAAAGGAATAAAAATATCCGTCTGCATAAAGTTTGGCTTCAATTGAGTCCTTTTAAAGATGGCATTGGTTTTGACACCTAACTTCTTTTTATCCTAGAATCGATTGAGACAAATCAATGGGTTTTTTAAACGGTTTACAAACTCTCTAGCTGTCTAAGCATGTCAAAAAGCTACCTAAATTTGTCCCGTTGCTCGATGAGCACAACCCGCGATCCCAGAAGAGCGCACTCGATCGCCGTCCGAAGTCCACATGGTCCTAAAACATTATAGAAGTTAAAAGTGCAAAATGCCCGAGTTTTAAAAATAGGTTTCTTGTAAGAAACGTGTAGTGTAAGCCTTTAGACTTAAGAAACTAGAAGATCTTCAAATTTTCCCCTAAATTCTATTCTCCAAAGGGTTGACGACAAAAATCCCCCGTGTTTTACCTAGAATTTTATATTCTACGACCAAAGTGACAAATGGTGCGGATAATCTACCGAAAGTTTACTTTCTTTTCACTCCACTCACCGGCTCCAATGATCAAAACGTTGAGTCGATTGGCAGCTTTTTGACTCCGGTACTCGGTTTGTGTCCATTTCTTGTCCAACAGTTTCCACAACTTTTGCGCCCTCCAATCGTTGATCTCCTTTCGTAATCTGAAACGAGGAAAATAAGCAGAGATTTTGAGCAAATAGATTTGCATTTGGATAATGTTTAATGTTTAGACTCTAAACTAAACTTTAAAGGACATTACAATGCTGTTTTAAACTCGAAGATTTCAAAGCCACGTCAAGCCACGGTCCTTTATCTCCTTTGTCTTTGACTATATGGGAAACAGCAGGAAATGCGTGGCCTTTCGTTTAAAATTTTAGGCCAAGCCGGTCAAAAGTTCTTTTTGAAACAGCTCTGCATCAAAATGCCAATGCACTTACAGAGTCAAATTCGTATTCAAAGCTCTTTAACTCATTTTCTTCTCTAAACCGTGAAACATAGCTATGTATGTAGTTAAGTAACATTCTTACTGTTAGCCCGACCTTGGCATTATACAACATCTGCATGCGTATTGATCTCTTCATAAATTAGAAATTCAATAAAGCTAAGTGACATAAAGAGTTTTGTTAAATCTCTAATTTATGAAGAGAGCAATACGCGTGTAGATGTTTTATAATTCCAAGGTCGGGCTAACAATAAGAATGTTACAAGATTGATTTCAAGTTACAAGCATGAAAAAGCTAAAAGAAAATGAGCTAAAGAGCTTGAACGTGAATTTGGGTACTTTTTTGATTTGTCCCCCCCTTTTTTTGCCCAAGCTATCGACTATTGAAGGCACTTTTTAAGGCACTAGAGCTAAAACATTTTTAACCACTAAATATTCATTTTCTAACTTAAATTGACCGGTATAGGCAAAACAAAAAAAAAAAAAATATTTTTTCCCCCGCCCAACCACGTAGTACGTGGTAACGTTGTACTAAATTGCTGATGTTTGGGGGACTAAAAGAAGACTAAAAGAAGACTAAAAGAAGACTAAAAGAAGACTAAAAGAAGACTAAAAGAAGACTAAAAGAAGACTAAAAGAAGACTAAAAGAAGACTAAAAGAAGACTAAAAGAGGACTAAAAGGAAACTAAAAGAGTACCCAAATTCGACCTCCTAAGTGTATTAGCACCAAAAAGCAAACGCACTCTTCATAAACACGCTTCGAGTCGGTTGGATCGAGGTCGAGCTGGGTGCAAATGAGGTAAAACGTGTGAAGGATTTGCTTGAAATTGTTGGCGGTGACGAAATTGTCGAATAGAGTATACAAATCGACGGACACCATTTGCTCTATTTTGCTTTTCTTTTTGATCAATCGCTCATCTGGAAATGAAAAATTGAGTAAAATGCTTCAATAACATGAAAAAACACAAAAAAACAAATACGCTGAAAGCTTAGAAGGCTTTAAAAGTGTTAAAATTGTAAAAAATTTCTAGTTTTCGAGTGTCCCCTCACTAAATTTTCAGTTTTTAGTCCTTTTCTCAAAAACTAGTAAATAAATAGGATAATTTAGAGAGAGTACTCTCCCACTTTACATTTTAGACATTTTCTCGTCATCCAATAAGCCATTCGCAATGATTTAGATTTCAAAAGACGCGCAAAAAAATTTGCTATCAAATGGTATTTTGAACTCTCAGAATCATCTACTAGTTTTTGAGAAAAAGACTAAAAACTAACAATTCAAAGGGGGACACTCAAAGCCTATAAAAGAGCTAAACTTTTGCGATTATTCACGAAATAGAATTCAATGCAAGAGATCATTTGGGCTATTTCTAGCGGTTAAACATAGTAGAGAATTCGACGAATCCTTTTTTTTTGCAAAACTAAGCCCATTTTTTTCAAAAATACGACTTTTCGCTGGATTTTTCACGAAAATCATTCTTTTTTTTTTTTGCAAAACTAAGCCCATTTTTTTCAAAAATACGACTTTTCCCTGGATTTTTCACGAAAATCATTCTTTTTTTTTTGAATTTCCATCAAATTTAGCTTAAAAATTAGCTCGTTTACTCGATTGAAAACGTCGAAATCAAAAAATTAAATGGTTTTTTTTGAGAAAATCGGCTCATTTTTGTGAAAAAGATTCGTTAATTGTTTTCTCGAAGCTTCAAAAGGCGTCAATGTTTTTTAGGGAGAGATCCCGTTTTCGTGTTGGTTTTCGTCGAGATAGGACATCTTTTTTTTAAGGTCATCTCATCCACTTTCACCGATTTTCTCTCTTTTTTCTTGAAAAAAGGAATCTCGGTTAAAGCGCACTTTTTAAAGGTGAAAATGGAGGGAAATGATAATAATTTTTAAAAGCCGATCGAAATATCTAACTATATAAAAGAAATAAAACGTTTGTCCGTTTGTTACGCAGACGCGGGGCTTCTATGTACAACCTTCTCTCTTCCCGTGGACCGATTTGGCTGAAAATTTAGAAGTAGAGAATTAAAAATAAGAGATAGAAGATGAAAAGCGGTAATTTAACAGCCCTAGAGGGATAGAATGCGCATTAAGGCGTCGTTTCGTGAGATCAAAATAGGCAGCGTAAACGACAAGGGATAGCATGCCATATCGCTTTAACGACTATCGATGTAAAGGGTAATAATAGCAGTGAAAAAGAGATCCGATCCTAGAAAAGTGTCATGGATTTAGAAGAAAATGCTAGGAAATTAGCAGATGGCAATGCTATTCGAAGAGGAATAATACATTCACTTATCGGTGGAAAAAAAAGTTATAGATCTCAATATTCTTTTCGATGCGATGACAAGCTATTTTTTCGGTTGATTTCGAAAAAAAAGGCCAAGTCTTGGAGAAATTTTGCACAAACAAAGGTAAAGCATAAAAGATTGTCCGGAATGAGGCAAGACTTTTAAAGAAATAAACAGCAATGCCTTTTTCATAGCAAAATTTTAAAAGACCATAACATTAGGCCTCGAGAAACGACGGTAAATGAAAAGAATTTGGGGGGTGGGACAAATGCGACCTTTTTTTGCGCACCTGGACATTTGCGCACCTTTTTTTGCTGGAAAAGGCCTTAGGAAAGGTCGTAGAGCTTCAAAAATGTTTTCATAGAAGGGAATCGTATGCGTAGATTCCGAATTTCGCCAAATCAGACCTCGCTGACACGTCAAATTTGGGGTAAAAGGCAAAAACTATGCAACTTAACGCTTTTCCGCCCAAATTTGACGTGTCAGCGAGGTCTGATTTGTCGAAATTCGGAATCTACGCATACGATACCCTTCTATGGAAACATTTTTGAAGCTCTACGACCTTTCCTAAGGCCTTTTCCAGCAAAAAAAAGGTCGCATTTGTCCCACCCCCAAGAATTTGTTCTAAATTGAATCTTTTTGAGAAGGAAAATTTTACGTTGACTTTAAAATGATTAAAATTTTTCCGAATATCAAAAAACGATGAAAAATAATGTATGAAAGTGGAGAAAGGCATAAAAACAGTTTTAAAGGAAAAAAAAAAGGCATACAGCATACAGTTACAGTTTTAAAGGCATAAAAAAAGGTGAATTCAAATGGGGAAAGGAAAAAGGCTGGAAATTTGCGCAATAGAGTTGTGTCGCGTTGTTTTCACAGAGAAAAGGGAAAAGAAGCGAAGAAAACAGCTGGGGGGGTTTTTTTATTTCAAAACGACCATAATCTTATCGGAACTATGACAATACACCATTTGCGCATCACTCGTGGAAAAATCTTTTGCGCAGTAACTTTAAACGCTAAAAGTTGCACCAAATGACCCACATTGCTTCGATTGAGCTCCAATTTTTACAGCATTTTGCACTCGCCTATGCCCATCTACTGTAAAAGTTTCAGCTTGATAGCTTCACTGCAAAAAGAATTGGGAAGCCATTATTTGTTTCTTTTGTGGGCAAATGACGTCTTTTTTTGCGTCTTTGCCTCTTTTTGCCCACAAAAAATTGAAGTCACTCTAAAAATTTTTGCAGTGAAGCTATCAAGCTGAAATTTTTCCAGTAGATGGGCATAGGCGAGTGCAAAATGCTGTAAAAATTTGAGCTCAATCGAAGCAATGTGGGTCATTTGGTGCAACTTTTAGCGCAAAAGATTTGTAGCGAAAGTTAGCAGCTATTGTGCGCAAAAGATGTTTTTCCACGTATGCGCAAATCGCTGTGCGGTATTGTCATAGTCCAATATTATCGATTATCGTATCTTTAAAAGATACAGGCTTACTATAGCATTTGGAGCATTTTAAACCAGTTGACTACCAATTGGCTTTTGTTTTTCTCGACTACCGTAATCTTAAGACACATTTTAGACGATCTTAAGACACAATCTTAAGACAAATTTTAAGACAAATTTTTTAGACGTTGGGGTACTGTAACCAAAATCTAATATAACATCTAGATAACCGATCACTGTCTCCCAAAATTTAGGGTGCTATTCAGATAAGAGATTGTTGTAGTCAAAAAAAAAAGTTGAACACGTTTTCGAAAGCGGATTAAAGGCGAGTGGAACGCGCAAAGTGCAGCAAAAGAAAAAGCACAATTTAGGCATTAATCTCAGTCCATTGCGGCTATATTCCTTAAGAATATTTATCTCTTTCTTTCTCTTTCTTTTGGATGAAGGCCATTTCTTTTTTGAAATCAAAAAGAAATCTTCTTTCTTGTCAACTAGAAATCTCTCCTTTTTTTTTTTTTCTCCAAAAATGATGTACACGGCCTTGTCTTTTCCCTTTTCTGTACTATATTCGCTCGCAAAAAAAAGGAAGTCCTTGAACGGAGCAATCAGAAGAAATACAAAAAAGAAGACAAAAAAGAAAGACAAAAAAGAAATAGAAAAAAGAAATACAAAAAAAGAAAACAAAAAAGAAAATGTGCAAATATTTCGGGAAAAGAAATCGGCGTAGGCTAGTTTCCGCAACTTTTTTTGCGCAACAGGATCATTTGCGCAACTCGCCATAACTTTCTTCTAAGTTGGCTAATCTTTATGATTTTGGTCTCATTTTCTAGATCTCAATAAGTGCAACAAAATGAAATCAAAATCATAAAGATTGGCCCACTCAGAACAAAGTTATGGCGAGTTGCGCAAACGACCCAGTTGCGCAAATGACCCTATTGCGCAAAAAAAGTTGCAGAAACTAGCCTACCCCAAGAAATCACTCGTGTAATCAAAGAAATATTGAGTCAAAGAAAATTTACATTTATCTTTATAGACAATTCCTAGACAAAAATACAAAATGCAATTAAACAGTTTTGAAAAAAATCTAATCATTGAAAGGTTTTGAATGAGCTCCAGATCTGAAAAAGTGAAAGTCTCCGCAGTCCTCGGCAATTTCAATTTACCCTAAACTTACCGTATTTACTCGAATAGAAGATCGGCCTCGATTATAAGACCGTCTCGAATAGAAGACGGGGTCTAGGGGGTGATTGAAAAATAGAAGACTCGAATAGAAGATCGGCCTCGATTATAAGACCGTCTCGAATAGAAGACGGGGTCTAGGGGGTGATTGAAAAATAGAAGACTCGAATAGAAGACCGGTCTTCTATTCGAGTAAATACGGTAACCAAAATACAATTTCTGTTAAAGTAAAAAAATGAAAAATGCTAGATTTCAGAAAATAATCTTTACAAAGTTTAGCGTGAAGTCCAGATAAGAAAAATACAAAATCTCCCTCAAATCTGATCAACCAAAAATGTTTTAGAGATTTGAAAGCTTTTTTGAATTGAAAATTTTTGCCTTAAAAGATCTATCTTAAAAATTTATCTTAAAAGATAAATCAAGTTCTGCTAGAAGGAAAACAGATAAGAATAGAATCGTTTTTTTGAATTATTTTGTGTAATAATTGTGAGTAAGATTGGATGTAAGTGAAAACAAATAATGCCAACAGCACTGATAGAGCAGAAGATGTCGAAGTAGTTCTTGGGTGGATCAAATCCAACAAAATGCATTATTTGAAAAACTATATAACCAAAAGTCTAAGTTGTATGCCAGATCAGCGGAATATTGAGAAAAGGTACTTGAAATAAATAACAGAGCGGAGATTTCGAGCAGGTCAAATTCGACGGCAAAATTGCTATTATTGAATTGAAGGAAATAGACAAATCTTCAATTGTGAAAGTCTAAGTTGTATGCCAGATGAGCGGAATATTTAGAAAAAGGTAACTGAAATAAATGGCAAAGCGGAGATATCGAGCAGATCAAATTCGACGGCAAAATTGCTATTATTGAATTGAACGAAATAGAAAAATCTTCAATTGCGAAAGTCTAAGTTGCGTGCCAGATGAGCGGAATATTAAGAAAAGGTATTTGAAATAAATGGCAAAGCGGAGATATCGAGCAG